ATGCATTTCTCTAAGACTTACTTATTTCATCCTTATTTACTGAATCCACATGATATTCTTCAGCCAAAGACCGGCAGCACACAACACGCAAGAAGGCTGCATTTTTACCTACGGACCAAAACAAATACCTCCAGTGAGAAAATGGTTTTTCCTGCAGGCTCAGCAGTCACAATTAAAACTATTTTGACTGATCAGGAGTGAATCGAGTGGAGATAATTTCAGACATCCAGAAAGAGCTAACACAACAAAAAGACATCAAGTAAATTGCAAAAGCAACTGAAATAAATGTAAATGTTCTCAGTGTGACTGTTAACTGTAAAGAATATTATTAATAATTGAATGTACTAAAATTGCTGAAGGCTGCATTAATATGAGCAGAAAAATGTATTTCATTTCAAATGCTGTGTACAGAGTACTTACAGAACAGCTTGATGTCTCTTTCAGAAACGCTCTCTGCTGGCTGTTAAAAGAGGGGGAGGAAAAAAAACAGCTAACAATGTTTTTGTCCCAATTGAAGCAAATATAAAATATGATCCATATATATTGAAATTGTGTTTAAGTCTGTTTGGATTAATATTTAAGGCGTATGCATGTATTTGACACAAGAAGATAACTATTTCATTAAGTACTTGCAGGAAACATGTTCAAACTAAACAGAAGATAGTTAGCATTTGATACAAGGAACAGCATAGAAATCATTGAAAACCTTCACAGACACTCTAATGCATGTTCACTTGTTTTAATCCTTAAAGTGAAACACAATAATCCTGCATGGTTTGGACTTCTGACTGACCTTTCCGACAGACTGTAGTAGATTTTCAACATGCTTAGCAACAGCTGTTGCATCCTGCAGGGCCTTTTCCCTGTAACTGAGATAAAATAAACAAAATAAAATAAAATTAAAAAAAAAGGGTTAGCCACTTGGCAAAACTTGATTCATAATCAGTAAGTCCTTTCTCGCAGCTGGAGTCCAAATGTTCCACAACTTACATGTTTTGGAGATTGATAAACTTCTGAGAGTCTGCTATCATGTCTGGGATGGTGCCTCGTACAGGAAGGCTTCCACTGCCTTCACTGTGGACAAATTCTTTCACAGCTCGCAGCATCACCCAGAAGGATGGAGACTAAACAAACAGGAAGAAACAAAGTAAAATGGAGATCAGATGTAATGTAAACATATATTTGTTGTGCCCTTTAACAACGCTTGCATTTACCTGTGCTGTGATGTTGTTACATTGTTCACTTCTGAAGAGATCTTCAACAGCACTTGGAATCTGCAGAAACCAGACATATTATGAAATAAAGCAGATCTAATTACCGACCGGATCTACTAAATAGAAGATAGGATCTGACACCTTCGTTGGATTTAACGCAGTGTTGACGTTCTTAATCGCTTCATCAAAGTTTTCTTCATCTTCTGGAACACCGTTCAGATTCTTCAAGACCCCTAAAATGTAAACAGACATAAATAAAGAATAAATATTATTAAACAAGTATAAATCTCAGTCAGTTGATTAACAGGCAACAAAAACAATCCAGGGGTCCACAGATACCTTCCCGAATCATTTGTCTGAAGGATTCCTTCTCCTTGTAATTTTTGGGTGGCTGACCATCATGCTGCAACCACAAACAGCACAAGCGTATCAGACAGAAAACAAAACACTCTCAAAATAAAGATCTAGCCTCCAGGAAAAGATAACAGAACTAAGTTTCACACCTCACTGAGCCATCTATCCAGATATTTAGCTACAATGATAATCCATGGGGTGTGACTGTGATCCTACAAATAAAACCGAGAGAAAAGAGGTAATTGATAGTTATAACAAGAACAAAAATAACTTGGAGGGCTCTTAATGTGAAAGCTAACTTCAAATCAACACCTTCTTTTCCATGCTTGTGAGGTCATAGGAGTTTATGTGGTTCTTAAACTCGTCAAAAGGTTGATCTAATCTGAGATCCTCCAATGCGTTGTCTGGATGAGATTCAATGACTAAAAATAGAAGCAGCAAAGTAATAGTTCATAAACACAGAAGCAAATTAACTACACACATGATAGTGTATATGTGCATGAGTAGGATGTTAATGTAGCATTGTTAATCAAAATACTCTTATTTATTGTTAATGTGAAATAACAGAAAGTTCTAAGATAATGAACCCAATCTCTTACCTGTGTGCTCCTGCACTACTAGCCTCATGTAGCCTATCAGGCCATAGGTTTTACAAACTAGATAAGGTACAGAGGCACTCCACAGAACAGAGCCGAGCCTTAAACATGTGCTGTTGATGAGTGAGAGCGAGAAAGAGAAAGAAAATGAAAGTTGGCAGGAAAAATAACAAAATCACGCCATGCTACTCAGGCTATTTTGCCAAACTAGCTGGATAACATCTCGTACCTTTCTGGCAACTGGACTCCGATGACTATTGTAAATCTGTGAAAAAACTCTGGATCATTGTCCAGAAGCTTGTCTGGGCTCTGTAGGGATAGAAAACCCAAGCAAGAGTAATCTATTATTATACATAGACAGTATATTTTTAAATCTTATATCATAATCTTGCTCTTTCATCAATGTAAGAATACTCTTCCAAAAACATGTCTGCAGTTTTGCAATGTCAACTATTTAAATACATTGTGCTTTTCTGAATTTTACATTTTAAGTTTTTGGAAGTTGTCAAAATGAAAGGAATTCAAACCTCCTCGACAAAGTTTCCAGACACGTCGCTGTTCAATTCTTGTAGTAGCTCGGTGGCAGCTTGTGCTCTGTTCTGCAACACCAAACACCATTCAGCATCAAACGTCACTTTATTTTTTCCCATTAACCATAACATTACGACCTGATGCATGAGCATGACTACGTGCAGAGATACACAGACAATTTGTAGAAACTGTAACAAGAATTTAAATCGGAAAAATTCCACGTATGCCAACCTTTCCAATGCTGTTGCAGCTAAGGAAAAAGCTGCAACACAAAATAACAAATATGGTTATTTAAACTGTATCAGTAATTAGACATTTCAGCTCAGCTGATAATAATAATAAACTCTTACTTATTTCCAACATCTTCCCCAGCAACTGTATGTCCATCTACAATGGTGAAAGCTCCAATCCCTGTCAAACATATAATTTCACCCAATCAGACAGCTGTTTTTGTCTCCATTAGCAGCACCCAAAATAAACATCATCTGCTTACCTGGAAGCACCAGATTCTTCAGGATCTCTGTTCCAGTGGCTGTGGCATTGATAAGACATACATGTGCGTTCTCCAGAGCTTCCTGTCCATGGTCACCCCACAGACTGACGGTGGAAAACACAACAAGGACTTGTGATTTCATTTTACTGTACACCACCACTCATGTCCAGCCGATACACCTTGCAAAAACAACTGTGATATCATCTCTTACTCTGCTCATATTTATTTTAAACCATTTCATTAGTAGTTAGAAGTTGGAAAGCAGAAACAAACGTTTCTCTGACTGAAACCAGTCAAAACCGACATTTATCCCATCAACCTCAAAGCCAACGATGCTGATAGAACATAAAGCAAAGCAAGCTAATGCTAACACTGGACCTCAACTTGTCTAACGGCGTGCTCTGATACCTCCGAAAATAACTATCTATGACATATACCTACACAAAGCCCTGTTTCTTAGTGAATAGCAAAAAGCCCATAAAACTTACCGCAGCTGTCTGTCGTATTTTTGCTCTTTGGAACCTTTGGTGGCTGCCATGATAGCTTTAAAATTACTACGTTGACGGCTCTAGTTTTATTTCCGCGACGTCAGATTCGACACGAATGTGGCGGCGCGATGATCCGCATGCGCACTTTCGACAAAATAAATACTGGAACAGGAATATGAGAAGCACACTTTAAAAATAATTGATAATTTATGTTTTTATGTTTGGACTGTATTTTATTTTAACTTGGATTGGGTGAAGGTTGAAAGACGAGTACATACTGTGGAAAGCATCAAACCATCGACAAAATAAATATTGCACAAAAAATAACAAATTTTATAATAAATATGTTTTATATAATTTTGTACGATTTTGTGGTAAATCCAGGGAAGTTTCAAAGCTTATTTTTTTTAACAATTAGGTGGCCAATTTGTCCAACATCCTACTTGATTCTGATAATATGTTTACTTATTTTCTTCCTACATTTTGGATGAAATGTCAACTGGTACACATGGGTTTAAAGTTTTGATGTAATTAGGGTTTTTTTCAGTCTTTTCCTTTCAATTTTCTTTTTTTTTCTCCTTTTTTTCTTTTTTGCAGTTTATTTGAAAATACATTTTAAATAGGGAAATGGACAAATGAAAGAGGTCCAACAATTTAACTTCACAGAAAGTAACATTTTAACAATAGGCATTGATAGAAAATTGGTTTGATGTACAATTTTCGAAAGATTGCAATATTTACCTCATGCATTTGATGACAACCTTTGTAAAGGGGCAATTCGTGTGCCCTGGACGTGTTGAGCAATTTGAACTTCCCTATATGCTGATAAGTAAATGGTGCTACAAATATATGAGCAAATCATACTAGTGTTAACATTTTTAGAACAACGAGCAAAATCAACCCCAAAGTTTTAATTTTTAAAGTTTTTGTTTGGAGCAAATTTAAACTTGGCAGCAAACTTTTATACTTCCAAAATGTATTTGTTCCTATTTACTTTTGTCCTTTTAGCCTTCTTAAAGGAAGAAATCCTGTAACCCAGAAAAGCTGCTTTTCATCTAATTTGTTTTCTACTTTTCCTATCAAATAACAGACAGTATACACAAAAAAAGACGGAGCCTGTTATTTCAGGATTTGCTACACTTCCCCACAACAATCGTGCAACCTGTATTCTAAAAATTGTCAAGTTCTCTTGAATTATAATCTCCACCTGTGTCCATAAATGGAGAAGCTACTAATTGATTTGTTTGTGTGGGCGCGAGGGGGGCGTGTCTCAGCGGGAACAAGTGTCCGTCCCCCTTAATAAACTCCATCAATAGCCGCACCAGCTGATCTCTATGACCGTCATTAAGTGTGACTTAAGCCGCAAACGAGGACCATGACAGGACACCACTGGGGATACGGAAAAGAGGACGGTAAAAAAACAACAACCATGAAGTTCTTAATCAGACTCTGTAACATATTTAATGATTTCAGCGTGATAAATAGTTTTTTAGCTGCACAAACGGATCCTGCTCTGCTTCTCCGGACGGATACCTGCAAAGACGGCTGTTAAACCGGGATTAACCCGGTGCTTTAAAGGGCGACCGCTGTCACTTTAACTTGAGGAGCTGCTGTTGAGTTTGCCCTGGACTTCTGAGAGGGGAAACGACTAATAAATAATGCTTTCTGGCAGGTTTTGAGAATGAGTTAGTCTTTACTCATTTGTTTTGCACACAAGTCTGATGATGAATTGTAACATTTTGAGGGCAGATTTTGAGGTTTGGGTTTTATTTTGTCATGGGGACAAAATAAAGTCCATTTTATTTTTGAGCTTAGTAGCCTATGTGCAGGGAGTTGATTTTGTTTTATGCTATAAATGAACTGAAGCTGTTGTAAAAATGTTTTTTTTTTTTTTTTTCATCCCCTGTAATTGAAAGGTCCTTCAGCATGGCACAGACAGTATCCAGTTGCCAAAGGGAACCGCCAGTCTCCCATTGACATCATTCCTGATGAGGCTGGACGTGACAGCAGCCTGGGTCCTATTTTCCTGAAGTATGACCAGTGTACATCTCTTAAAATTGCTAACAATGGACACTCTGTAGTTGTGGAGTTTGATGACTCTGATGACCGCTCAGGTGAGGATAATCTGTTTGTTTGACGTTCTTATTTTCCCCTGCAGGTTTTGTCGGAATGTTTCACCTCTGAAATTGTCATATTGCTTTGCAGGGACAATGTTTAAAGATCGCCTTGCAGCTTTTAGTGGCGGTCATAGTTCAGAGATAATGTCCCTCTCTTATCTGCTGATGCAAACGTGCTGTAAAAATCTGTGCTGAAAGCGAAGGACAACAAGTTTTGGAAAGTGCAAAATTACTGACCATAATAAACGGCTGAGAATGAACCTTTGATTATGAGGAAGGAAAGTGCAACTAACACTTTATGAAGATCTGTCTGCTGGACAAAAGATATAATAACCTGCCAGACATCTCAGTGGTTATTATGACAATGCTTGTTTTTATGACTGGGTGGATGCGTGATGGCCACCCTGCAATCATCATGAATGATAAGTACAGAAGCGTGGGCAGTTCCACACAAAATTTCCACAAGACAGGCAAATGTAGGGAAATAATAGATTAAAGAAATGACCTGCAAGGAAACACAAGCAGTACTGAGTCTTCTCTGATGTTTCCCAAACTCTTCAAATTGCTTGCAAGTTGCTTTGGGATGTGATGTTTGATTTTGGGAAATTACTTATCTGGGAAGAGTAAAATTATTTGGAGAAATTGCAAAAGTGGCATTTCAGTATTGGAACACAACCATAGCACACATAACCACTTGCAAAATATACTGCTCAAAAAAATAAATGAACACTCAAACAACACAATATAACTCCAAGTAAATCAAACTTCTGTGAAATCAAACTGTCCACTTAGAAAGCAACACTGATTGACAATCAATATCACCTGCTGTTGTGCAAATGGAATAGACAACAGGTGGAAATTATTTTCATATTTATTTCATTCATTCAGATCTAGGATGTGTTATTTGAGTATTCCCTTTATTTTTTGAGCAGTGTACATGAAATTGATGCCAACTGAGTAAATTAGAAATCTTTAATTTGTATGGGTAAAAAATAATTACAGATGACGAGTAAAAATTGAGTAAATTTATTTAAAAAAAAACTAAATAAAAAAATCTGGCTTTTTTTTTTTCCTTCTTGGATCACATTTAGCTTCATGAATGAAAAATGATCAAAACCATATTTTATTTTTTATATGCTCTGAGAACATTTTGAGGCATGTGCCTTTTTATGTTTACCTTAACCAGAGCTAACCTTTCCCACATGAGCTTTTTGATGAACCATTTGTTTTTTTAGGTTCCACTATACATTTTTAACCTGATTTAGATTGTTTGGCTTGTTTATTTTTACACTCTAAACACGGAAAGCTGTTGTCTTTGGGACACTAACCAGAACAGTCACAATGTTTTCATCGGTGCCAAGTTGAACGTTCTCAAAACTCTAGTAGTGTTAATAATTTCAGTAATAACTACTTTAGCTTTCCTTACATTTAAAGACGGTTATTAGTGTATGTTGTTTCATGTGTATACTTTGTAATTTGTTTTTCTGTGTTGTCCATGGAATCTGCCATAGTCAAATCCTAAACAAATTTTTAAAATTTGTGTGAGAAAACTCACGCTTTATTAATAGTCCTTCCTGATTGTGGTCTCTGAAGATCATAATTCAACAGCACAGTGAGCTTTTTGATGAAGTGCACCCAAAGGGATTGAGCCGGCTTTCAGCATTAAGGAATTATGTTCTGATGCAAAGATGCCTCTGTGTTTGTGCAAAATAGTTTGCTTTAAAAATATCAATCTGCAAAAAAGTGTGGAAAAACTTTAAAACTTCTGCAGATGTGAATGAATTCCCTTAGAATTCATTCACATGAATGAATTCTTGTGAATGAATTCACGAGAATTCATTCATGTCTATCATTACATGGTACTCTGTGCCAGGAAGGCATTTCTTTAACACTTTCTGAAAGAAAGTGAAGGTACAGTTGATGCCATGTGTGACTTCAAATGTATTATTCTCACTTTCCTCTTTCTGCCTACAGTGATTCAAGGAGGCCCTCTTGACAACCCTTATAGACTCAAGCAGTTTCACTTCCACTGGGGTGGAAAGGGATGTGAAGGATCTGAGCACACTGTTTCAGGAGTCGGCTATGCATCGGAGGTCTGTGTTCAGCTTTATATACTTCAGCTCTTAGGTTGCTGGTAACTAAATAGACCCAGTAGACATGGATAATATCTGTTAACTTGTACGGTTAATTGACGAATGAAGACAGTTTGTTTTGGGTTTTAGTTTATTTTCATAAAATCCTGTAGATGTAATACAGCTAGGGACTTGTCATCCGAGCAGAGAAAGCAGATATTTGTTCCTAATTTAGTTTTTCTTCTTATTTCTTTCTTTAGTTGCATTTAGTTCACTGGAATGCTGTCAAGTACAAGACGTTTGAGGAAGCAGCAGTGGCTCCTGATGGCCTTGCTGTCCTTGGCATCTTTTTAGAGGTACAACATTTAATGCATGACCAGTTATAGTTTCATGCTATTGTATTTTTGAAGTTTTTAAGTTGTTGCACATTCAGTACACTTATGTATTGGTTTTAGACCCTCCCCCCACACTATTAAGAAACATACTTCAATTTGGATTATTAAAATGTCTGACAAAGCTAGTGTAGTACCTTTTGCAGCTCAGTGGGTGATGGAGTTTGTCTGGTAGGAAATGACATTCAGTTTGATCTGGCGAAGCAGATACTGTCGGTTAAAATGACAAATCGTAAAACTGCTTTAAAACTTTATCTGTTTCTTTCTTACCCATATCTACTGCTGTGCTTGACTTATTCATGCATCAGCCTTATCATACTCTATCCCTGAAAAGATATCATATCTGTTTATAGATAGGTTAAAATATAATAGTCTGCAGTCTGGTTTCACTTTTTTTCCAATATGTTAATGTCATGAGCAATTCATGACCCGACTTTAAAGTCTGAGTCGTCACTTTTACTTTAACTGTGGCATTTGATCCCATGGACTGTCTTTGCAATATGTTGCAGAAGACTTGGAGATCCAACACTCATCTCATCCAGTGTGAATGCAAATAAAAGCCCTATCAAAATGATATCTTTTAATCATTCCTAATCACAATCTAGCAAAATTAATGCATGCTATTTGTTTTGTAGCCCACCAACAAATTAAGGAAAAAGATTGTAAAAGTTTCTCTAAATACACAAATATCAGTTTTAAGAACCACTCTGTTCTGTTAGCTAGGTGATGACCACAGATGGCTTCACATGATAACAGATGCTCTGTACATGGTGAAATTTAAGGTGAGTCTTGTAATTTACTGCTTTCATTTTTTACATTTTCTCTTTTATGAGTGCATTGTAAAAGCTGTTGTTGGTTATGTTATTTACTTTTCCCACAGGGAAGCTCCACAGATTTCAAAGGTTTCAATCCCAAGTGCCTCCTACCCAGCAACCTCCACTACTGGACCTACCTGGGGTCACTGACCACACCTCCCTTACACGAGAGTGTCATCTGGATTGTCCTGAAAGAGCCAATCGTAGTCTCCGAAAAGCAAGTGAGGACATTCCCAACAGTTTAACTCAAAACTCTTAAATTCAAAAGACATTTGTCATTTTTAATCCGTCATGTAATCCAGTGGAAATGGCGGACCTGTGGAAAGTGGCTAAGATGAACCTTTCTTTCATCATCACTAAAAAATTATTTAGAAATGTCACTAACGCTTTTTATTTTTGTTAAACATTAAACTAAAATATCCTACTGTGAAATCGATAGTAGTAATATATTCATTCATGTGGTGGTACTCCTGCACAGCAAGATACGAGTCCAGTGAGGAAATGTTTTGCTGTAGGAAGGAAGGAAGCAACCATGAGCTTCTGGTATATGAAATTATAAGAGGAAATGTTCTAGCAACCATTTTGAATATTTTTTCTTTCAACTTTTAGCGTATTCCTGTTGTTAATTTGAAGGTTGGCTGCTCTCGTTTTGCCCCTTTCTCTGGATCTACACAGTATGACACCTGGAAATGAGACATTTTCAGTTGTGACACTTGTACCATAATCCGATGAATAAGAGGGATACATCAGCCTGGTTCACGTGTCTGAATGTTGACAGTTTCAGCAGCTGATGCCAGTTTAGCCACATCTTCCTTTTTTTTTTTTTTCCTAAAAAAAGTTAAGATAATCAGATTTTCTCTTTCTGCACACATATAGTGCCACACAAACTGCACTCACCTAATGGATAAATCAATAGATTAGCTCTTTTATTATTTTAATTGCTTTTAATTATCGTATGCATCTGTCCAACTGGATATATGGGTATCATAGATTGATTTATATTTTATACAGATTTTTAGTGATATAATTCAGATGTCTTACAATAGAAGCCTAAATATGTTAAACTGAATTTGATGATTAAAACTACATGTCATGTCTTTGTGTCTAAACGTGCAGATGGGGATGTTCCGACTGCTCCAGTTCAGTGGTGAAGAGGATGGTCAGAGGATGCGGATGGAAAACAACTTCAGGCCTCCTCAGCCTCTCAAAGAGAGGCTAGTACGTTCCTCCAATTAAGTTCCTCAGTGCATATCAGCTTGTAGAAGTCAAAATCAATTTCTGTGTTTGTGTGACAGGGCATGCTTTATTGCAATTCTACTTTTTACTGCCATGGTTGTTTCTCCAAAAGCTTTTTTGATCCATTTTGCACAAAGTAACATTAGCAGGAGTAAGTTTCTGTCAGAACAGAGGTGCAGTTTTTTTTCTGAAATCTTTGATAATTTGTAAATTATATTTTCTAAAAGGTTTTAAAGATATCCATCCATCCAATCCATCCATCATTTTCTTACACCCTTGTCCCTAGTGTATCTCCAGCTAACGTTCCAGGCAAGAGGCAGGGTATACCCTGGACAGGTCACCAGTCTGTCACTGGGCAACACAGAGACAAACAACCACACACACACACACTTGCATCTAGGGAGAATTTAGAAAGACCAATTCAATTAACCTGACAGTCATGTTTTTGGACTGTGGGAGGAAGCTGTAGTACCCGGAGAGAACCCACACATGCACAGGGAGAACATGCAAATTTCATGCAGAAAGACCCAGAGCCGGGAATCGGCTGCAAGGCAACAGTGCCTCCGACTGCATCACTGTGCAGCACCATCACAAGACATTTGTAGTAAAATTTTTTAACCCTCCTGTTATGTTCTTGGTTAAATTGATCCATTTTAAAGTTTGAACATTTTGTTCAAATAGTTGGAAGTATTTTTTGCATGCAACTTTTTTGATTTGTCTTAATAGGTACACTCTACATAGAAATTGAAAATTTATTCATTTTACACATTTGCACCACCCCCTGCGTCTACTTTTTACATAGATACTGTTCGGGTCAATTTGACCTGGCAGTCAAGTTTTTAAAAAAATGTCCAGTTCTCTGTTTTTCCTTGCAGCTTAGAGCCATATTTCACCACACACACACAAACACAAAAGTAATATAAGAAAATTACCAAAGATCAATTTCAAGGAAATTGTTTTTTGTCTAGGTTTTTTCCAATTTCCAATTCCATTTTTCATGTCCAAATGAGTAAATGAGTGAATTGTCATCATTGATCCTTAATTTGAGAAATAAAAAAAACATTATTGCACAAATATTGATTGAAATGGTTAGTTTTGGAGTTAATAATCAGATACAAAGATGTTTTGGGGGATTTTTTTTTATATTTCTGACACTATTGCATGATTAAAAAGTCCCAGAGTCAAATTGACCCACAAACATTATTGCTGTACCCCAGAAACGAACATAACAGGAGAGTTAAGCTTATAAATTGAAGATAAAAGCCTGGTTTGCACTCCAAGGCCAGCAGCAATTAATCGAAGAAAGCAAGCAACACTGTGAAATGAGCAGCAGCCAGATCTACAGGCTAACAGCCTGACCATTTAGCACTGATCCTTTATCAGCTGTTTATCTAAAACTGCTCTGTTGTCCAGAAATCAAAACGGGACATTTCTCAGGTACCCTGTTGATGAATATTTTAAAATGTTTCTTACAAGATCTATTTTCGAGATACTTTATGATGTGGTGGCAATAACAGTGTTTGACACCCAACTGAGAAGTGGTTGTTAAATTATTGTAGTTTTGTTGCAAGAGATGTCATTTCTGGGTGGCTTAAATATTGTTATAATGTATCTTTCTGAAATTTCTCTTGAAGAAAATAAAATTCAAAATATCATTTTCTCAGTTTCCCTCTATTTTTTTTGTAAGAATCAGAAGTTTGACTTTTTACTTTTTGGAATATTGCTGTCCAGCATGTGAGTCATGATTGAACACTTTTGAGGCCCAAAACTCTCAAGACATTAGCTGACTGAAAAGCACAAACAGATTTCTTCCAGATAATTCAGGGGTCTTTTTTGTCTTGAAGCTGAGGCTGTTCATGCTAATGTTTAATCTTCCTCATAGTGGTGACAGGAATCAGTACTCGGTTCAAGGTAATCAGTAGCCAAGTCCAAGCCCTGAGGAATGTGCGATGGAGAGAAAACGCATACACTGTAGCCAGTTATCTACTAACTGAATACACAACTTTGTTACTTTAAGTTGTTCTGAGGAAGAAAATGAAAAAAAAAAAGCCAAACTTGTAACAGAAGTCAAAGAAAACCAAACTACTAAAAAAAAAACAAAATGAAAACTTGACAAACAAACTGAGCAGGGAAAACAGTTGATCATTCAAAGGAATGAGATACAAGAAAGTATGTAATGGCTGACACCACATTATCACAATTTACACATAGACATGCATAGTTCATTATAAGAGGACGGCAGAGAGTTTAGTTGATGATAAACAAAAGTCAGATGAAGGAAAACACAATAAATACAAGTCGTTGCTGTTAGAATACAAAAAGGTATTTGAATAATAAAAAAAAAAATCTATTCCCCCTCTTTATAAGGAGCTGGTGGTTCAGTCCAATTAACCCTCCATGTTTTTTGCTACTCTACCACCTTTAGTTTGGCAAAACTGCCACCAATCAGGGATGGTGAGAAACTTGTGATAGAGGCAAGAAATAGTATTGAAATCACTAACCAAATGTAAAAACTGATGAAGAATTAAATGTTTTGTCTGCCTACAAATGACCCATCATTATTATGTTTGTTCAGAGATGCAGGGAAAATGTTAACTTTTTAATAGTCACTTAGCCAGTTATTTAATATATAACTGTGGATGAGGATTAATATTTTGTGGCCACTAGATGTTCATTTTAAAGATATTTAAAGGTGCATCCCATCAATGAATGGAAAAGTGCCGAAATGTCAAAAACATTGTAAATTGACATTTGAATAAAACATTAGTAAAGCCGTTTCTGTCATGCTTCCCTGAAACTTTATCCCCGGGATTAATCTGAACTCTGTCCCCTCCAGGCTGTTTGTTGTTTGCATTTTGATTCCTTGTTCTGCTTATGTAAACTATTCGCTGATTCTGGGAATTGCTCCTCCTACAGGTTTGAAGCACGTCTCATCTCCTTTCATTCATTATCCATAGATTTTAAAGGCCGTCCTGCCTTTGCAGTATTGTTTTCATGAACGAGGCATTGAAAATCATAGATTTTATGCATATTTTATTTTGTAATGATTTGTTGGGAATGGAAAGACAATAAACAAAAGCATACATTAAAAACAGATTAAATGTGGTTGGACAATCATAGCATAACTTACTCAAATGCACAGTTGTCTTAATCAGAACTATGATCCTGGAAGTACATGAAGATCTGCAGCTGTAGTTTACAGGAAATGTCTGTGCAGCTTTATTGGGAAAAAGCTGCACAGACATTGAATGAATCACCTTCAGTTCATTGTTGAAGCGCTGATGGAAACCAGAGCCCAGAATATAGTTTTAAAGATAGCCAAGTTACCCAACTGCCTCAGGGCATCGCCTCTGAATTTACATTTTGCAAATAAATGCTGTGATGTGAATGAAGAGATGGAAGTACAGGAGCTTAGTGAAATCATTTGGGATTGAAAATGGAACGGAAAATATATTCTTGGAGAAATTACATGAAAATATTTTTAAAATATTCAAATCAAAAATAAAAAGCTGCTCTAATTGTGTTAGGACTGCAAAGAACAAAGCAAACATATTTGAAAAAATATAAAATGCATAAAATGAGATATTTGAGAGAAAATAGAGAAATAACACAATGTGAAAAGTAACTAATGCTTTTGGAATTCATAATTTAAAGAATATTGAAATAATAGAAAAGTATGACCTCCATGTCGGATTTGTTGGTACAATACGCAATGGAAATATTTAAGCTATACATTTCTGTTTGTTCTTGGTTTAGGTTGTTCTGATCATCCATACATGCATGTTTGATAACATAATATTTATTTTTCAAAAATGAAGCAGTTTCTCTTGGAAGAATTTTGTGTTGTTTTCACTGAGTTAACAAATGGAGTACTTTATCTTTTTCTATCAGCATGTTGTCTATGAGTTATAGCATTATTGATCCAGCAGGTGGCAAGAGATAGTAATGTTTGGAGTTTGTACCTTTGAATAAATGTTTTTGTTGTGAGTAAAAAAAAAATAATTTAAGTTCTTTTTAAAAACAGAAAAAAAACCCAATCCCAGTTAAGTAGGGCAAGTAACTCGAAAAAAATGTTTTGCTTAAAAAAAATAAAAAAACAAAAAACAAAAACAACAAACCAATAAAACCACACATCCAAAAGAAAAAAAAAATCACAGGCTAAATTAGATTAACTTTACTATTACCATAGTTATTTCTGTAATTCACAATAAGTAGACTTTCTTTTCATGTGCTTGTGTGTCTTGTGGGGAAAAAAAAATAATAATTAGAACAACCTCTTGGTGGCAACATTTGTTGTGTTTTGCATTAAACAGCTTGAAACAATCTGTTTAACCAGCTTAGTTAAGAGTAATAAAATACACATTGAAGCCGCATTATTTAAAATTAAGGTTTTATAGGCAGGACAATATAATGACCAAAAGATCAATAGAGTGAGAAGAGCAAAAGCAAATGTTATTTCTTCAGTGGCTGCTTTGCTTTTCTGTATCTCAATAACATTTGACCTTGTCTTTGTCTGCCCTCCCAGGATGTGTGCAACCCCTGCTTGAGTCAAAAAGGTTACATTACAATGATTGATTTTATTTTCATGTGTCGTCCCCCTAAAATAAATACAGCCAGAGTGCAGATAATATATAATTGGGTGTGTGAAGTATATTTTCCTCATATTCCCAAATGATAAATCTGAAATAGCATCATTGAGCTTTATTGAGACAGAGAATACCTGAGCGGGCACAACATCCGCAGCCACAATCGATGTGCCGTGTAAGATGATATTACAGTCAGAGATCAGAAATAGAGTCAGTCACAGGTATTTTTAGCAGTATGTTATCTACTTGCTTACCATAGTGACTTTTTATTCCCACATACAGCAGAGTCTGAGCAGCACCGTGAAGTACAAGACTCTTGAACAAAAATACCGTTTCCAGCAGAAAGACATTCAAAAATAATGTTTGCATTTCTGTGGAACATATATAAGTGTAAATATAAAAAATGTAAAAACTAGATTGTGAATGTGCATGTACATTCGGTGTAGAGTTTGCACATTATTTAAGATGTAATTTTATCAAAGTATGCTGTGATGTTGTTTCCCCTATGATCACAACTTTCTAAATTTTGAATTTCAAAAAATGTGTTTTAATGTGGGAGCTGTGATACAAAGTTCTGTGGTTTTATCATCTAATAGGCTTAATTGTTAAGTAAACTCAAATTTTTGCATACAATTAAGCCCCAGGTTATTCATACTCTGACAGTACTCTTTTTAAAAATTTACCAACATATTTCTTCTTGCGTTTTGAAGAGGAGAGGCTCCAATTTAATAAAGAATCCATGATTGAGGCTGCAGATCGGGGAGCTTGGAAGGAGACCTCACAATCTCAAACACTCTGAGCTCATCACTAAAGATAAATCAGAACTAAAGTCAAAATCTAGTCCAACAAACAGTGAGTACATGCAAAACCAAAAGAAAAGAAAACAAAAAAAGGTTAGCGTTTAGAAGATCACAGTTAACTTTAATTTTTGAACACAAGACAAAACATAAATCCATGCAAGGCATCATTAAATGCTTTAGGAACACAATTTTTCTTAAAGTATTATTTTTTAATGGTGTCATTTTTTACTGCAGCTGTGGACTTGAGGACTGTTAGGGGCAAAACTTTCAATTTATGTTTTTGGTCTCTTGTTTTGAGTGCTGTTTACTTGGACCAATACAGTCTTGTGCAAGAGCAACACTGTGACCTCTTAATCTTTTTACTTAACAAGATTATTGTATTAATCACAAAATTTGATGAAAAGAACATGATGCATTTTTTATTGTGATGGTGATGCAGAGGCGCGTGTGTGACTGAACCACAGTCCTAACTTTGTTTGACCTGAACTACAAATCTGACCTTTAAGTCTGCAGCACAGCGATGTAGTTACGATCATCGTTTTTCATCACTACTGACGAAGAAAGGATGCTGAGGTCCCGAGTCGGTAAATTTCTCCACACTGCCAAAGACAGAGATTCTATCTAGCAGAGGACGCAGCCATGCTGCGGTTGCCATGGATTCAAACTGCACACAAAGCACCAAACAAATGCTTTGGCCGGCTCATATCGCCCCTGCTTGTCCATGAGCCAGTGATGCATCGCCATCACCCTCTCTGAAAATAAAATCGTACCATGACAATATCTGATGCCTACCTCTGCCCTCCACGGTGACACGTGTGCTTTCTCTTTTCATGAAGGAGCTTTATTTAGCTTTATGTCTGGACTTGTCCCATGAGGACACCTGGTCATGTCCAAATCAGACAGAAAAACACACATCACCTGCGTTTGATGATTTGTGGCCTTCATCTTTGCTCATGGTCACGTTTGAGATGAAGCTATGACAACTTGCCAAACAGTATACAACATTTCAGGCTTATGTATATACACCAGAGGTATTAAGGGGCCTAAGTTATGGCGGCCTTTCTTTACTGAGTGTACTGTAAATCATAGCTGAAGGAGAAACAGGAGTACGCCACTTGGTTGGGATAAAGAAAAAAAAAAGCTTTACTGTCATGGGAGAGAGGTCACAATCTATTATTCAACACATTAGTGTCAAGTTATATACCATAAAAGTTGTTATTTATGGAGCCGTTTATCTGAAAAACCTTTTTTCACCCTTGGTTTCTATTT